TAATGACCCAGGATGCAGTGGATGACCTTGGTGTCTTCAATGATTGACCAAGCTCTGAGAGCTACACGTCACCTTCCAAAAAAATAAGAGATTATCTGGCTTCCCTCTATGAGTACAATTCAAAAGGTTTTTTTTTTTTATAGAATCGGCAGATGCAATTGCTAAGACAGTGTTAATGATCTTTAAAGGACCGTAGAGGGTAGACACAGCACCATAGAATTGGAGAAGGGAAAATATTGTCCCAATTTTTTTTCATTTGGATCTGTGTTTCCATTATAACAGTCCCTAAGATCCACGTGCTTCCCTCCTCTGAGGCTTTAAGGAGTTCATTTTAAAATAAAAGTTATCAATTCAATCACAATCTCTCCAAACCTCCACTAAGGAAAATTCCCAACATTTAGGCAGAGGTCAGACTCTCTGCATAAATTTACATTTATATCTATATCTATGTAACCACTGGCCTCTTTATAATTGAGGCAAAATCCAGGTTACTGGAGATGTTCCAGTAACAAAACAGCAAATTTGTTAAAGTTTCTGTGGATAGATAGGAAAGTCAAAGAAAAATCAGGCTTTTCTCAGTGTTTCAGTCCTTGAGTGAGTGGGTGCAATGGTGGCACCAGTCCATGGCATCTCTTCTGCTCTGAGATGTCTGCAGAACCTTGAATACGGTATCTCTTTTATCAACTACAGCTCAGTCCTGCTCGCTCCCTTTCTTTGGCTGTGCAGGAGCTACTGATTCTTGGATCAGTTCTGGAAGACCCAGATACTTCCCTTTCCCTTCCAGATCTTCTGATTCTCTCTCTGGTTCTGAGATAGTTCCTCTCTATAAATTCTTTAAGGAGTGGCCAAGTCTCTCCTGTAATAGCTTTGATTTATCCAAAGATGTGTACAGGCCCTGTTCATACTCAATTCAGATTGACTAATTCAGTGAAGTGTTCTTACCTAACAAAGGTACTGTTAGGTTGAAGCAATAATCAAATAGAGCCCACTCTTAAAATTAGTACAGAGAATTCCTATAATACAGAGTACAGAAACTCTTTCCACATATATGCCCAGCAATTTTTTTAGAAATTATGTTCATAAAGACTTGTCAAGGGCATGGAGAGGTTAACTAATAGTTAACATATAACATGTTACTATATTACATATAACATATTGTTGCATGGCTAAAATATGTCAGGCAGAATTTGATCACAGATTTTCCTGAGCCAGTCTTTTATCCACCATAACAGTAGTTTCCAAAGTGTGATTCTGAGGACCCCCAAGGATCCCCAAAACCCTTTCAGGGGGTTCAATGAGGGCAAAATTATTATCATAGTAATGCAAAGACATTTTAATTACTAATATAGTAAATATCAATAGATATAACCCACATAAACAAAAGCTCTTTGGAGGAGGGGGTCCTCAATAATTTTTTAAGAGTATAAAGAGATCTTGAGACCAAATAGTTTGAGAACCACTGCACTACAACATTCTTCCTCTTGATTTGATTTTAAGCTGTTTTAAAGTAAGTAGATGTCCTACTGCTTCCTGGCCTAGTCCAACCATCTTCAAGGTGCCACTTTTTAGAAATGACATTAATAAAGAGGTTGAGTTTCAATAAGTGGATGATCATGATGATGAGAGGGCAGGAGATCATGACAAATGATAATTGGTTTGCAGATGACATAAATGGGGGACAGATGGATAACATGCTAGATGACAGACACATTCAGGCAATGAAAAGATCTTAATAGAGTATAATTATGTCCTGAGTCTAATAAGATGAATTTTAACAAAGATAAATGTAAAGTCCTATGCTGTGGTACAAAAAAAATCCACTTCAGAAATACAAGATGGGGAAGGTATGACTAAATACAAAAATGCGATTATTTTTTCATTTTAATAAAAAAGGAGGGTAGAGAGTCTTTTGTGTGCCATTACAACTAGGTCCTAATTGGTTGGTATTATGAACTATTTGAAGTGATTGCATGTATTCAAATCTGCTCTATTTGAAATTATAATTATTTAAAATATGGTAATTGGTTTAAGCCTAATGGAAATATGCGATATGAATTCAAATAATGCAGCCACTTCACAGGATTCATTATTCTCACTGATAAGAACCTAGTTCAGTATGAGCCAACAGTGCAAGATGGAGGACAAAAAAGCTAACACAATGTTATACTTCATTTAAGACAGGCATAGTGTTCATAAAAAAGTAAGTGATAATTTTATGTACAGCTATATTCTGTCCTCATCAGATCACACTGACATATTGTTTTCAGTTCTGGTTGCCATATTTTAGAAGGGACGAGCTTCAGAGCATCCAGTAGGGAAGTCAGGATGGGGAGAGAATTGGAGACCTTGCTACTGACAATGTTTAGTTTAGATAAGAGAAGAATTAGGCAGAAATGATAGCTATCTTCAGGCATCTCTATTTCTATTGAGAGCACCCATCCGTCCATCCATCCATCAAGTCACCCAGGTTCACAACCTCAGAGCCATCCATGACTCTTCCTTCTCCTTCACTTCTCTCCGTATATCCCATCAACTGACAAGTCTTGTCAATTCTACTTTGATAACATCTCTCCCATGCACATTATTCTCTCCACTCAACACCTACTCTCATCAAAACCTTCAGTACCTATTGCAATAGGGAAACACTAAGACAAATAGGTAGAGTTTAACAAAGTGAAAATGTAAGCCAAAACTTCGTAATAAGAACTCTTCTAGAAAACAGAAATGGGCTACCTTTAACGGTACTGGCTTTCCCCTCACTGGTGGTGTTCTAGATGACTCACTTGCTGTGGCTATCTTCTAGAAAATTCCTATACAGGTATTTATTGGACTGGATTGCCTCTAAGGCCCCCTGATATTCTGTTTTTACAACCCAGAGGGGAAAAAAAAAGAATAGACAAGACAAATTGTTATATAGTCACACTTCCCCTCTTGTACTTCTAAAGTTAATTTTTTAAACCGAGTATTAAACTTTACATTTGTCCCTGTTGAATTTTGTCTTTTTATATTATTTCATCTTATTAGATTCATCCAAATGTTCCAGCCTACAATTTTTGAATCCTGAATACATAATATAGTATGCTACTTATCCTTCCCAGCTTTGTGATGTATGAAAATTTTATAGCATTTTATCTATGCCTTTATCAAAGTCATTGAAAAAAATGGCAAATAGCACAAGGCCATGCACAGGTCTCCAGAACACTCCACCTTCTTCCAAGATGACAAGAAACTCTCTGACTGCTCTTTGAGCCAAGCCTTCAACCACATTCTAATTCACCCAGCCACTATCAACTAATTCCACAACTCTCAATCTTTTCCAAAAGGATGTATGTGAAACCTTTTCTTTTTTTTAACAGTTTATTATAATTTTTTTTAGAGAAACGTTTTCAAATACCTTTTAAAGCTCAAGGTAAGCTACAGCATTACCCTGATCCACTAGTCAATTAACATCGTCAGAAAAGAAAATAAAGTTGTACCAGCATGACCTGCCCTAGCTAGAGTTACAGAGCCAAGCTGGTTCTTTGTCCCTACTGCTTTCTTTTCTAAATGTTCAACAGTACAAATTAGGGTAAAGATCACTGGCCTTTAGTTTATGGGTGCCATTCTCTTCCCTCTTTTCAAAAATGGCAACATTTGCTCTTTGCAAATCTTAAATCGGTACATAAATGTCAGCTGTTGTCATTATTGTTTTTGTGGTGGTTGTTATTCTATCTTCCCCGGCAGTGTCTGTGAGTCTCCATCAGTATTCCTTGGAGGACAATAACTGTTTCCTTCTCAGAGGATCTAGCTCTGTTCTTTTGGGGAAGAACCTACCCTGATAAGAATGGCAGTTCCTCAAGAAAAGAGATTGATTCATTTTTTGTTGTTTGTTTTTGTATCGCTAATGCCTAACACAGTGCCTGGGACATAACAGGAGCTTGTTAAATGCTCCTTGGTTTATTGAACCTTTCTCTGTACTTAGCTCAGTTATTCAGTGGTTCTTTTTTCCCCTCTGTTGCAATTCTTCTATTTTTCCAACATTCCCCTCTTTTTCTTTAGGTCCCTTTCTTTCTTTGTTTTCACATTAGCCTTTCTTCCATTTTTTTTAAAGATTACTTCAGGATTTCCAATATTTTGTGATCTCCTTGATGATCTCCCTTCCTTCTCATCATATATATCCTCTTGGCCTCGTCCTCCTGTAAATCTCCACAAGGCGTCCACCCAGTATGCTGAAGACCTTCTTCTACAATCATGGGCTCTTAACCTGGGGTCTATGAACTTGTTTTCTAGTATTTTGATAATAGTATTTCAATATAATTAGTTTCCTTTGTAACTATGTATCTTGTTTTATGAATTTAAAACATGATTCTGAGAAGGAATCCATAGATTGAATCATCTGACAGCCAATAGGATCCATGACAAAAAAGGATTAAGAACTGATCTAGATCTCTTGAAATTATATGGATAGCGATCAAAAACATGGACTGGCAGTCCTGCTACTGATCTGTCAGTCATCCTAAAACAGGTGGTCAAGGAAAATGTTCTAACACCATAACCATCACTTCCTCCAGTGGTACATTCTCTGGGGTGGTTTCAAATCCTGTGCAGCTAAATAGTGTTGTGCCCAAGGTAGCCGCCTATCTTTTTCCTGTAAATACTTTCTGGCTTGCTAATTACCTTGCCTACCTTGAGTCATTTGCCTGCAGGTTCTCTAAGTCCACACTGGGGCATGTGTGTGTGTGTGTGGGGGGGTGATGAGAAGCTCCACCTCCCCTCCTCTAGCCCCCTGAAATATAATTTGATTTAATACAAAATTAATACTTATATACCAGAAAGTGAAATTTATGACAGTACAAATACATAATTTATATAAAGCCATATTTTAAAATGTCCCTCCTCCCACTCCCCTGTGTTTTGTGCCCTGGCTAGCTGCCTACCTTGTAGCTATCTTCACCAGAAACTAAGGGTATACTGGTAGGGGCTCTCTTGCACTACTCTCAAAATGTGCTCTCTGCTCCCAGTTCAGGTGCTGTGGCAGCAACAGCTCAGCAGACTGGGAGTACAGCACCTATATCCAGTCTCCAGAAGCTGAGGGCCGTAAGGTGCCTGACAGCTGTTGTAAGACAGTTGTGGTCCTCTGTGGTCAGCGGACCCACCCTTCCAACATCTATAAAGTAGAGGTAAGTAGAATGCCCTGAGATGGTGTTCCTTTCACTAGGATTGGAGGGGGGGGGAGAGAGAGAGAGAGAGAGAGAGAGAGAGAGAGAGAGAGAGAGAGAGAGAGAGAAACAGAAGTGGAGGAGGGGAAGGAGGACAGAGAGGGAAAGATAGAAAGAGAGAGGGAGGGAAAGACAGAAGGAAGGAGAAAGAGAGATATCCTGGCAAAGGTCTCAGAGGCAACACATAGTATTTTAGATCTGAAAGGGACCTTAAACAGGAATTCTCCACTTCCTGTCTTGTGAGTCAGGAGTCCCAGATTCCAGTCCAGCCCATGCAACTAGTTGTGTGACCTTGGGCAATCCAAGACTCTTGGGGCCTCACTTTCTTCATTTGTAAGATGAAGGAGGTAGACTAGATGATATCTGAGGTCTTTCCCAACTCTGATATTCTGTTTTGCTGGTATTTGATTTATTTTACATTCTGTAAATTTATATTATCTATATTCTATAAATATATGTACAGCCAACACCTTAGGGCAAATTCAAGTTGTATGCAATGTATCTTCTGTAAAGGTAATCTGTTATCATCATTGTTATTATTTAAGCAGACTACAGGCTCCCTAAGAGCAAGAACTGTGGCTTCTGTTTATCTTCAATTCTACCCCTGCCCCAAACCAACTCAGAGTGCCTTGAGGGTCACTCAGTTTTGGCCATAGCACTGTCCAGGGGGAGTGAAGGATATCAGGAGGTTAGCTGGATGTGGATGCCTGCTGGTTTGTTTAGAAATCTATCAGCTTCCTCCTCAAAAACCCACCCTCACCCCTGAGATTTAGCCTGATCTTGGGAATGGAAGGGGGTTGACTTTGACTCATAAGTTTTCCCTTTGGATTTATGGGAAGAAGGTTTACAAAGGGCTTTCCACACAACTTTGTGGGGTAGATGGTGCAAGTATTATTATTCTGCTTTACAGACCACAAAACAGAGGCCTAGGCTAAATTATTTGCTAGTAAGTATTGGAGCTAGGATTTGAACTCAGGTCTTTTTGATTGCAAGACTAGTGATTTGTCCACTATGTCACAACTGCCCCCGTCAATTTCTGAACATGTTCTTGATATCTTTCCCCATTCTTAAAATAGTGCACTCTCTGCCCCTTAGGCCTTTCCCCAACTGGTGAACACTTTCTTTTTGTTTCCCACACAGGGTGGTTGTATCACCAAGTTAGAACATTTTCTAGCTAATCATCTCCTACTCATGGGAGCTGTTGGAATTGGAGTTGCTTGCCTGCAGGTAAGTCTGTCCCATTCTATCATGGCTTAGGGTTGCCTTAGCCTGACACCACCAAATTAGAAAAGAAGAGATTCCTTTCACCTCTGTGGATAGAGAGAAGATTGTTGACAAAACAAGGAATAGAGATGATAATGCAGGCTAAAACACAACTTTGGTTACACAAAATTTTAAAATTTTTGAGCAAATAAAACAAACACCATACAATTAGATGGGAAATAGTTAATTAGGAAAAATCTTCATGGCAGATTTCTTGATAGGGTCTGATATGTAAGATATAGGATATAAGAAACTGATACAAAAATATAAGAACTAGAGCTATTTCTCATTTGTAAGTGGTCAAAGTATATGAACAGGCAGTTCTCAAAAGAAGAAATGCAGGGGCAATTAGGTGGCACAGTGGACAGAGCACCAGCCTTGGATTCAGGAGGACCTGAGTTCAAATGCAGCCTCAGATACATAACACTAGCTGTGTGATCCTGGACAAGTCACTTAACCCCATTGCCTTATCAAAAAAAGAAAGAAAGAAAGAAGAAATACAAAAAAGAAAGAAGAAATACATGAAAAAATGCTCTGAATCATGCATAATAAGAGAAATGAAAATTAAAACAACTCTGAGATTCTACCTCTCATCCATCATATCGGAAAAAAAAAATTCTTGGTTGGGCTATGGGAGGACAGTCAAACTAATACATTGTTGGTGGAGCTATGAATTGGTCCAATCATTCTGGAAAATAGTTTGGAATTGTACTTGAAAATGAATCATTGAGCATTTAGTAAGCAGAAGGATTCAGATGGCTTCAGCACTGAGCAAGGTGCTGAATATACCAAGAAACACTGAAACAATCCCTGCCCTCAAGAAGCTTACATTCTAGGGGCAGCTAGGTGGTGCAGTGGATAGAGCAGCAGCCCTGAAGTCAGGAGGACCTGAGTTCAAATCCGGGCTCAGACCAAACACTTGACACTTACTAGCTGTGCGACCCTGGGCAAGTCACTTAACCCCAATTGCCTAAAAACTAAAAAAAAAAATTTAAATAAAAAAGAAGCTTGCATTCTAATTGGGGATACGATATGTACATAAATAGATATGTTGCACATGGAGTAGGGGAAGGGGCCAAGGGGCCCCTTACTAAAGATGGCATTAGAGCTTAGTCAAGAAAGAATCCAATAATTCCAAAAGGTGGAGGTAAGAATTAAAAAGCATTCTAGGGTTGGGGGATAACTCTATGGCACAAAAATGGGAGATGTGCCAGTGTGTGTAAGAAATAGTAGTTAGACCAATTTGCTATATCATAGGGTGGGAGAGCAGGGGAGCAGTAGTGAGTAATAAGACTTGAAAGATAGGAAGAGGCCAGGTTGTAAAGAGTTTTGAATACCAAATGGATGTTTATATTTGATCCTAGAGGTTACAGGATGTCATTGAAGTTTATTGAATGGGAGAGAGGAGGAAGAGAATTGGACTGACCATGTCCATGGACCTGTGCTTTAGGAAAATCACTTTGGTGGCTATATGAATGATAGATCAGAATGGGGAGAAACTTGAGGCAGGGAGACCAATTTGGAAGCTATTTCAGTTGTCCAGATGAGAGGTGATAAGGGCCTAAACCAAGGACAGGTCTAGGTAAGGTCATGGAGAGAGAAACTGCAAGATTTGACAATGGATTGGATGTTGAGTGAAGGAAAGTAAGGAGTCAGAGATTGACATCAAGATTGTAAATCTGGGTTAGTCTAAGGATGGTGATACCCTCAACAGAAACGAGGAAGTTCAAAAGAGTTTTGAAAGAGGGGTTTGGGGGAAGGAAATGAATTCTGTTTTAGATATGTTGAGTATAAAATACCTATGGGACATCCAATTTGAAATACCCAAAGGCAGGTGATGTGGTCCTGGAATTCAAGTGAAAGATTAGACCTGATTACATAGAACTCAGAGTAGTTAAACCTCTCAGTGTGACCAAGAAATTCCCAAAGATTCTAAGGTACAGAACAGTTGCTTATCAGTATTAGTAGAGAGAGGTTCCTCACCAATGAAATCATAGATCCAGACCTCCTGACCCACATCCCCTAGTCCCAAATATAGAGCCATAATCCATTCATTGGTATTATCTTTCCAACTGACTTATGAGATCAAATATGCCTCCTTGCATTAGGACAACTGGTTCACCTTGCTTGTTCACCATACTTTATGCATTTTTATGTAGGCTTTGGAAGCCATGGGTTTTATCATAAGTTTCATTCATTGGGGCACCTAGGTGGCACAATAGAGCTCCAGCCTTGCAGTCAGGAGGACCCAAGTTCAAATCTGGCCTCGGACACTTGATACTTACTAGCTGTGTGACCCTGGCACATCACTTAACCCCAATTACTCAAAAAAAAAAGTTTCATTCATGGATTGCAGTTTTGTTGGAATTTCTGGGTATTTTCCCTGTTAATCTTCTTACATTATAGCTATATTTTCTAATTTGAGAGACAGTTTTCTCTCTTTTCCATTCATGTTCACTGTAAAGCTCTTTTCTTACCAATCTTTATTAGGTACACTTCTTCCCTGCCCAAGAGTTTCTCCCTTTGCACATGTATCATTGAGCTAAGAATGTTTCCCTCTTCTGAGAGTCTTCCTGTAAACCAATTCTCAGCAGAAAATATCACCAGAAAAGATCTGGTTTAAAAAAAAAGGTAACATTTTTGATCACTTGCCCAATTTCCTTTAGGTTCCTAGAGGTAAGCAGGATTTGAAATTATGGACACAGTTCTTTGGCATTCCAGAAAACGGGATGGTGTTCCCCACAGAAGGATTCATATGGCTTTAAGAAAAGCTGGAGAAAAGAGACAGGAAGGCAGGAGAATGAACAAAGGCACTTAGACAAGAGTGGGCTGGTCCATGGAGCACAAATAAATTAGGTCCTTATAGTCTAAACAGGCTGCCTCTAAGCTCTGCTTACTGCATTCAGCACTCTGAAGGGAGGAGGAGGAAAAAAAGTTGGGAGAGGAATAAGGAGAATAAAGACAATGTGGTATAATGGAAACGTAACTAGACTTAGAGACAAAAGATCTGGGTTCAAGTCTAGACTCTTTTTTTTTTTGCCATTATAGTGATCTTGGTCAAGTTACTTACCCTTTCAGTGACTCAGTTTCCAGATATTCAAAATGAGGGGGTTGAGTTTCATAGTTTTCTAAGCTCCTTTCTAGTGCTAGATCCATGATAACATGAACCAAATTTTCCATTTCCCACTCTAGACTCTTTCTACTATAGCCTCATGCCTCCAGATCCATTCTGTCCTTTCCCCAGGTACCAAGCAAGCAAGGCTGACATGGTTGAGAGGCATTGACTTTAGTATAAACCCTCCTTTTTTCCAGGTAACTTGGGAGAAGCACTTGGGATCTGAACTCTTCCTAAGGCTTAAGATGCTAAGGCTCTTCCTAGCTTGTTGAGCAGATTCTTGTCAGTGGCATGGTCGGAATCAGGAAAGGGGATTCTCTCCAAGGCTCAACCCAAGCTCATCCTAGGTCCCAGGGAATCTGCAAAACCCACTAAGGCTGTTCAGCAGTTCCCCACAGTCCTCACGCTGAGGGTGGCCCAGTGCTAGTGGCTAAATTAAACCAGATCTGGATGGGTCTGCTTGGAACTGGCATAAATCAGATTCTCAGCTTGCTTCTAACCCCATCCATCTCCATCCTTCTAGAATCTCTTCTAGCCTTAAGATCAGGGCAGCTAGGCTATGCGGTGGATAGAGCTCTGGCTCTAGCGTCAGAATGACCGGAATTCAAATCCAGCCTCAGACACTTACTAGCTGTGTGACCTGGGCACTTACGCTAGAGCAGGTCCCTTAACCCTGTTTGCCTCCGTTTCCTCATCTGTAAAATAACCTAGAGAAGGAAATTGCAAATCATTCTAGTATCTTTGCCAAGAAAACCCCAAATAGGATCACAAAAAGTCAGACCCAACTGCAGCAACTGAACAACAATAGAAATGTAAACCTTTTTTTTAAATGAGGAAATGGAGGCCCCCAAATTGCAAAATGACTTTCCCGGAGGCTCGAAGTTTTGATGTTCCTTTCACCACCTTCAAAAACATGCAGGTTTCCCACTAATAAAATTGCCCCTCAATTTCTGCACGAACCCTATTGCCAAATGAAGCCAGAATCCCACTAGGATTCCTCTGTCCTTATTTTTTCTCCTACCTATTCCTTCCCTGAATCACAGGTTGGGTTGCCCTCTGCTGGCTAATAAGAACCATCTCAAGTGTCCTGTGTTTCTGAAAGGAAGCATCTGGAGAGAATAAATACCCTTCACCTGTGTCATCTTTTGTCCAGAATTTTTCATGGAATTTAGAGATGGAAGGAGCATCAGAGAGCATCTAAGCCAAGCCCTTCAATCTAAAAATTAGTAAACCAAAGCCCGGAATAGATAGTTAGACTTTAAGAACCAGGTCCCCTGCCTACAAAGCTGATTCTTTCCTACTCCACTGTGCTGCAGCTGTCCTAGCTTCAATTCCCATCTTAGGACAGACACTAGGATAGGGGATGGACTTGTAATTTTATTGATATAGGATGCTTCCAGGTGAGGAAATTCCATCTGCCAATGCAGGTCAGCACATTCTCTGCAACTTACAGTCTTAGAGAGTTGCTTGATACACTGGAAAGGTTAATTGACTTGCTTAGGGTCACACAACCAGTTTGCTTGAGAGACAGGACCTGACTCTAAGGCCAGCTCTCTATCCACTGTGCCACACTGTCTCTATCTGGATAATAACTATATACTTTTCTATAGGCCTTAAAACTTTATAAACCTTAAAGATTTATAAAGCTCTTCCTCCACAACTTCCCTATGAGGTAGGTAGTACAAGTACTATTTCTCCATTCAACAGATGTGGAAACTGAGGCTCAGGGGTGTCAAATGACTTACCCAGAATGACACAGAAAGGGAGCAATGGATCTCATATTCAACTTCAAGAATAGAAGTGGCCTCTCAGCTGGGACCAATACAAGGCAAATGGTGCGTGACAGGCA